CTTAATTTAGATATAGACGAATGCTCCACGAATCAGGATGGTTGCGAAGCGACAAATGGAAACTGTACCGATACGGAGGGCAGTTATAATTGTTCATGTAAAACAGGTTACGAGCTCCTTCAGGATCTCAGAACGTGCAGTGGTAAGTGATACAAACGGCAATTTAACAAATTCTGTGTTGCCTCACCAAAGTATTTGATAGTACTCAGAATAATAGGGTCTGCTGTAGGCCTATATTGTTCAAATCATATGCGTAGTATTTGTAAAGTCACTACAACCAAATGCGTTGCCTAATTGCGTTACCATACGCGTCATACCAGGTGTTTATTTTTTTCATTGTAGATATCAACGAATGTAAAGATCCAGATACATGCGTTGCAAACGCTGAATGCACCAATACTGATGGTTCGTTTACATGTCAATGCCTATCCGGCTACACCGGTCCTTTATGTATGAGTAAGTATAATCAACTCAAGTGTGTGTGTTATACTCAGGAATGAGTTTGAAAAGATTTGACAACATGTGGGCATATGTCACAGTAAGAGGATATCTTATGTAGTAATAACTTTGAAAGAATATATCCCTTGTACTGTACTGGAAAGGATGTGTATAATGATCTTATAAATATAAATTAATATAAACTTTTATTGACAGATATCAACGAGTGTGACAGTAACTCCCTGAACGACTGCGATGACAATGCTGAGTGTGAAGACACCGACGGGGGTTACAGATGCACTTGTTTGGCAGGCTATACAGGAAATGGGTTGACATGTATAGGTACTGCAACATTCGAAGCATTATACAATCCGTATTTAACCTCACTTTCAATCACGTCTTCGTCCGTATCATATGTATTTATGGAATAATATTACAAACCATAGGCCTATAATAAAATAATACAACAATTTTGGGGCTCAAATGGAATTGTATTACCGTACTGTTTCTCAGTGGTTATGGTACTCGATCGCCTTTCCCACGTTCAGAGATTTAAACACTGGCGGATTTAGAAAAAAATGAAAAGGGAAAAATGATCGCCCAAAACGCCTCAGAGGTTATTTTCGAATGTTTAGAAGAACAAATATTCGCGGGGGGGGGGGGGGAATACCCAGGACCCCCTAGGGCGGTGTTATCTCGATCGGCCCCACTTCCGGCCCTCGTTTTCGCACATCTCTGTATCCGCCCCTGATTAATTGCAAAAAATGTCTTGAGATTTCTCAGAATGAAAGAAAACTACATAGGAATATAATATTGGGAAAACGCCGAACGTTTTACAATTGTGTAAAAAATGATAATCCAATTCAGCTTTAATGAAGCGTAGGGATATCTTCTCATACTTCCTAAGCAAACAAATTGGCAGGTCTTCCGAACTAAAATCCTTAATGATGGAACCAAACGGACGCAAATTTATGAAAAATACAACACATTTTAAGAAAAGAACTAAGGATTTAATTGTAAACATGTTTCGGGTGCGAAACGGAAAGAAAAATCTTGTCATTCTTAACTAAGATTTTTCTTTCCGTTTATTTCGCCTTTCAGTTTGTACTGATGATGGGTGAGAGAGAACACCCGAAACATTTTTACAATTAAATCCTTAGTTCTTTTCTTAAAATGTGTTGTATTTTTCATCAATTTGCGTTCGTTTGGTTCCATCATTAAGGATTTTAGTTCGGAAGACCTGCCAATTTTTTTCCTTTGGAAGTATGAGAAGATATCCCTACGCTTCATTAAAGCTGAATTGATTATCATTTTTTACAGAAATATAATAATAATGACGTGTTATTGCACTAATACATCCCCAAGTACTTGTGAACTAATCTATTACGACTAGACCACCGAGCTTGTGCTGGAGACCAGAGTCGAACTGAATAGAATTACATTCTGAGTATGATTCAATATTTCGACATTGATTATGTCATCATTAGAAAATGATTCCTGATGATGGCATAATTAATGTCGAAATATTGAATCCCAACACGATGGCGTGCATTTCAATACTTGGAGTAGGCCTATGTATTATACATCTGAGATTAATCAGTGGACCTTTCGGTTACTGAGTATTCAGTAAAATCAAACGGCACTTTGGGCAAAACATCATTCCATCCAGGCTTGTTTATAGAGAATCAAGGATCCCAAATAATCAGTTTTTTTTTGACAGAGCACTCTTGTTAAATATTGTGTAAACGATAAAAAAAAAAAAAAAAAATACGAATTCAAGTATTCCTACTTCCAGATGTTAATGAATGCTTTTTGTTGGATACTTGTCACGAATTGGCAACATGTAGCAACGGACCCGGTACATTCAATTGTACATGCCTTGACGGCTACAGTGGTGACGGCATCAACTCTTGCTCGGGTAAGCCTATATCTCATTAAACTTTCACTTAGAAAATATCTATGTCCACGTTGTGTGGGCCTATTCATTTTTGTTAAACAATTGTAGAAACTAAGTTTATTCATGACATACCGTATTCGGCAGATGTTATTAGATGAAGAGGAATAGACACTTAAAATGAAACGCTTAACTTTTTCCATCAGATATCAACGAATGCAATAACAACCCTTGCAATGTCATCGCCAACTGCACCAATCTTCCAGGGACTTACACATGTGCGTGTCGCACTGGTTACCGGGGAGACGGTTTTACTACGTGTGACAACATCGACGAATGTACCGAGCAGACAGACACTTGCTCCAGTCTGGCTACATGCCATGATACGAATGGTTCGTATGAATGCTCGTGCATTGTTGGCTACGAAGGAAATGGTGTTTTTTGCACAGGTAATAAGGGAGCAAGATTTATACAGAAAGATAATACACAAGAAATATATGTAAAAAATGATTGTCTAGATTATTCATTGCCTTATAGATTTTCTGATGACAAATAGGGCCTAACGAACCAAAGTAGGCCCCTACCTGATTATAACGTAACACCGTCATAAAATTATTTTCACAGACGTGGATGAATGTCATCTCGCTACGGACGCCTGTGACATCAACGCTTCGTGTAACAATACCATTGGATCGTTCACGTGCTTCTGCAACCTGGGTTATATGACTCAAGAAGGACAAAACGCACGCAGCGGCATGTGCGAAGGTAAAGAGAAACGGAAATGGTTATTCTTCCGATATATGCATTAAGATAGCGAGACTGACGACTAAGGTTAGGGTTAGGCAGCAGCTCTGCGAATCAACACTTCTGATTTTCGTAAAATCATCGGAACAATATCTACAGCTTACAAATAATAATATTATAACATTTGCATAATGTCATTCAAAGTTTCTAATACTTTTATATATTTTCTGAAAATTGAGCGTAATTGGAACATTTAGTTTGGTAGCTAAAAGGTAAACACATTACCTTATTTTGACCTTTAATTTTGTTTATTTGTTTCTAGATTACGATGAATGCGCTTTTAAAATAGATGATTGTTCGGATTTTGCAAGCTGCACTAATTCCATTGGCTCCTATCATTGTGAATGTAAAACTGGGTTTTATGGAGACGGCGTCACGTGTTCAGGTAATTTATTAAAATTATTTTATTTTAGGCGGAACATAGTCTTTCTAACTTCTTATTCTTACATTCTAACTTTTGAAACCCAAATATGTGTGGGAGAAGATATTGGATTAGATACCGTACTGTGAATACGAACGGTAAGAGATACACATTTTATCCAGATTTTTCTGGTTGTTGATGTCCAACTAGAACAGCCTTTTTCAAAAAACCAAAAAAAAAAAAAAAATGCTTTTCGTTGAAGAGCTTGCTTGCCACGTTTATTGTCATTTATCTAGATATATTCTTTCTTATCAATCAATCAGTCAATCAATCAAACTTTTATTTCGGAAACATTAGTCCATAAAAAAAAATCAAGGTGAGCCAACATGTACACATTATAAATAATAAGAGAAAGGAAATTCATAGAAGGATCTACATCATTCTATGATGGAGTCTTGAAGACCTCACACGACACGCATGAAATCATTTCGTTGGTCCTGACAGACATTCTTTGCAAAAAAGAGAAAGCAGATTTTCTTATAAAATATTCCCACGAAGATGGGACTCAGTTGTTAACAAGCATGCTACTAGCACTACAGTGTTTGGGCAGCCTGAACAACAGCCCGAGAGCATTATAATAACAAACTCGTAGAGCATTAAGTGTGCCTTGAGTGTAATTAATCCACGGAGATGCACAATACATACTCGTACAGTAAGTTTTAAATAGAAAGAATTTGACAAAATATCTGAGAATTTTCCGAATTTACGAGATAATGTGTTAGTTCGAATGCATAACTATTTATATTGGCGTCTAATATCATCGTCATTAAGATTACAACAGATTATCTGCCCAAGGTAAGTCAGAGACTTACCTACACTCTTGGGCAAAACAGCATACACATAGATTTCTTAGTGTTATATACAATGTCATTTTATGAACATAGTATACAATTAATACACAAGTGATTGCAAACCTGAAACAGTGGGCGTTAGAAACACCATACCACCAGCATAACTGCGACAATTTAATTTTATTAGTTTATGTTTAATTTAAAATTGAGATTGCCAACATCATTTATTTAATTTTGATTTCCATTGTAACAGATACAAACGAGTGTGAACAACCCATCAATCCATGTGATTTGAGCAACAATGAAAAATGTGTGAACACAGATGGACATTACCTTTGTATTTGTCAGACTTCATATTTCAACAGAAGTGGGGAATGCAGGCGTAAGTATATATATTTTATATTAAATTCACCCCAAACAAGGCCCGAAAGCCACGTAAAGAGTTTACTTTTTTATTTATTGTATTTATATGCCATGAAATACATGCGCCTGGGGATGAAACATAGCTTGAGCCACGTCACAGCCTGACAGGCTGGGGTAATTAAGCATGGCCGGCCGGCCGAGACTTGACCAGCATGTGTTTTGAACCTCTGACTGGTCAATAACTCCAATATAGACCGCTGCGCCAAACTGCCATTTTCCGTTACATTATAAATATTACAGGGAAATTCTAAAAAAAAAAAAAAATCTTATGTAATTATATTATATAAGGCCTATTATTAAAAACTTAACTCAACGAATTTAAAAATAATATTTCTATTGTTTATTTTTTTATTTTTTTTTTCCTTTACAGGAGTCATTACGAAGTCGCTTACCCTCGAATTTTTGTACATCAAAGGTTGGAGTGTAGAATTATTGGGTCATGACTTTCAATTTGATGATGTCAAAGGACAACTGGCGGCAGATGTAAGTGCGCATGTTATGACTTTATTTATGCTGATTGTTATACATTTCTTCGTTTTTAGATAAGTCCCTCACTTGAATAGCGTTCATAAATACTCATTATTATTAATAACATTATCTTTCATTTATTAATTAATATTACAACTGAATTATGTACGGTATTATAAATATATATAAACATATATGATACAGACAGTGCTCATAGGGCTGAAACAGCTTGCCACTTTACATTCTGTCAACGATGCAAACTAGAGTAATTAGGCATGGCCGGCCGAGACTGGGTCAGCATGTGGT